AAAAAAATATATATATATATATTCTCATAGATTTATATTCCATTCATAATAAATATATTGTCTACCTTTAGGTAGGTAGGTATAAATAAAAGATGTATATTTATGTGTTTGCACTTATTTTAATTCTTCATCATCAAATTAAGCGTTGAAATTGAAAAAAAATAGACCTTCCCTTCTCTGTTGCTCTTTTGTTTTCCCCAGCCGTCAAAAGCATTTCTTCCGAACGACGCTCACTTTTTCATCATCTTCAACTTTTTATTTTCAATTTTTTCTTCCATAATAACAACAAATTGAAAACTTCAAAAGTTTCAAAATTTCATTTTCAAAATTTATTTGTCAAGATTATTTCAACAACAACACCAGCAACAACAACAACAACAACGAATTTTACATCTTACTTCTTCTGCTTTTTTTCTGCCAGCTAAAGAATTTATTCAAAAAAGTTTAAAAGTTTTAAAGCAGTTTAAAAGTTCAAACTGATTATTGATAATTTAATAAAAATGAAACTAAACCATTTCTAAGTTTTTTGATTCCACTGTTTTTGCAGTTCAAAAATGTCTTTAACATCAACAAAACACACACATATAATACACACAAAAGAGACAGAAAAAAAAGTCAGATGAAAATGGAAATGAAAATTGAAACAAACATTACTTGTTTTGTTTTGAGTTTCTTACAAAATAACATTTAATAAAACAAAAAACAAAAAAAAAAACAGCACCATTCAATTTTACGAATTAAAGTTTATTTTTGTTAATAAATCGATGCACTACAGACTAACTGAAGCAAACAGAAAAGCGACAAAATTGAAGAAGACGATGTAAAAGGAATGGAGGAAAAAAAAAGTTGCCATTGAAAGCCCAGGTATTGAGAGAACACGTCCAAAAACAGTACCTTAAACCAACCATATAAAAGACTAATTCAACAAATACAGCAAAATTAAAATAACTCACAACTTTACCGTTATCATTGTTTCGATACGAACAACAACAGTGAACTAAAAAAAACTGTACACTGAACAAAGTTTGGACCATCATTTCGCTTATACACCACAATGCATTTTCACCGAACATTGATTCATTTTGAAATTTGTCAGACAGTTGCTTTTTGTTGGAACAAAACTTGTCGTAG